GTCCACTCCTTCTGGAACCTCCAATCAGGGGCTAGGTCTAAATGCAGCTATAGTTCACTACCGAACCTTACGTTCTAATTTTTTATCTCTCTATTCTCCGCAGTTGAAATGATTACAAAAGGGTCTTAGAACCAAACCCAAAACGCGCAACAAATCAGATAACAATTTTAATATAAAAAAGGGGGTTATATGGGGACTACCCCAAAAATATACGACTACAAAATACCAACATCCGAAAAAATGGACCTATATTCATAATATTTTGTGGAGAGATTTGAAAACTATTAAGAACTCAATGTACCAAATTTCAGCGTATTCGGTAGAAAAACGCGCTGAAGAACCCCAAAATACCGAAAATTGGGGGGTACCCGAAAAAATTGACCTATATTTATAATTTTTTGTGGAGAGATTTTGTGCCTATTAAGAACCCAATGTATTAAATTTCAGCGTATTCGGTTGAAAAACGCGCTCAAGAACCCCAAAATACCGAAAATTGGGAGTACCCTTATATGGGGGCTATCCAAAAAATGTACCTATATACATAATTTTTGTAGAGAGATTTGGTACCTATTAAGAACTCAAAATACTAAATTACAGCCAATTCGGTGGAAAAATATAAAATACGATCAAAAACCCCCAAAATACTGAAAAGTAGGAGGTACCGTTATATGGGGACTACCAGAAAAAGTGGACCTATATTTATAATTTTTTGTGGAGACATTTAGTACCCAATAAGAACTCAATGTTCCAATTTTCAGCGTATTCGCTTGAAAAACGAGATCAAAAACCCCAAAATACCGAAAATTGGGAGGTACTGTTATATGGGAGCTATACCTAAACGTGGACCGATATATCCCATCTTCGAACTTGACCTGCCTGCAGACAAAAGACAACCCTATGCAAAATTTCAGCACCCTATCTCAATTCCTTCAGAAGATAGCGTGATTACAACAGACGGACGGACGGACAGACGGACGGACATGGCTAGATCGTCTTAGAATTTTACCCTGATCAAGAATATATATACTTTATAGGGTCGGAAATGAATATTTCGATGAGTTACAAACGGAATGACAAAATTAATATACCCTCCATACTATGGTGGAGGGTATAAAAAGTACTGGAACAGACCCAATATAACTAGCAATGTGATATACAGTAAATTGCGGTTATAGCGAACTAGTAGCGACCAAGCAAATTAATTCGTTATATCCAAGGCAAGGCTAAACAACCGAGGAGGATTATATATATACTCAGTTACGAGATATGTCCTTTTTGGACATAAATAAATGAAATAATTAAGCTTCTTATATTTTTCTTTGATGAATCTGACATTTTTTGTAAAGGTTGCCAAGTTCGTTATAACCAATGTTGGTTATAAGCGTACTCGACTGTATCTATATAACTAGATTATTATTAGCAAGAATAAAAGCGAGAATCATGATACGAAAAATCTACTAAAGTGTTTTAAACATCAAATAATTGAGCACATGCGTAATTACTTGCCCAATAAGAATAGTAAAAAAGTATGACCAACTTTGGAAACACCTGCAAAATTTATAAATTACATCATTTATGTATGATATGATTTTGCGTTAATTGATTTGAAAATTTGATTATCATTTTAAAACTGCGTAGCAATCACACTGATAATGGGTATATCAAGTATTGCATTTTACTCATTTAACCCTTTGTGGCCCTTTGTGGTCAAGAGACCACAGGCAAAAAATGTTATAGATTTTATATTTAATACGCAGCTAGTTTATATATATATATATATATATTGGATTACATATCGTTAGCTAAAATGCAAAAAGGCGTAACTAACAAAAAATTGTAAATTGACTTTTTGAATGAATATTGTGAATGTCAATAAACTACATGTGTTGACAAAGTTTTACACGTCTGTGGTCGAAAAAGGAGCTTCTATTAACAAAAAACAAAAAGACGGAACTACAAGTGGGTTTATTTGATAAATGCAAAAAGGCATAACTATCAAAAAATTCACGTTTTTACTTAATTGTTATGAATGCTATTATTAAATTATTCTCTATATTAATTTTTGATAAATGCAAAAAGGCATAACTATCAAAAAAAATTTACGTTTTTACTTAATTGTTACGAATGCCATTATTATATTATTCTCTATATTAATTTTTACAAGAATCAAAAATAATTCCGATGGCAGAACTCATACAATTTGAATACGAAGCGATTTAAATAATTTGGACTGTATACACAAATTAGTACTGTACACAAATTTACCCTCATCTCTATGTTGAAAAGCTCAAAACTTTACCAAAATTTTGATTTTTTTGGATTTTTCTTTTGATATTTGTCGTCCATAATCACGTCTTGACATATGAAATCCAAATAGTATATATACTAGTTGCATATTAAATATAAGCTCTAAAACATTTTGTTGCTTGTGGGCAACATTGGGCCACAACGGGTTAAACCTGATAATAGACAACACAAATGAAAAGAAAAATCTAAAAAAATCAAATGTTTGGTCAAGTTATGCGCTTTTCAAAATAGAGAAGAGGGGGCAAAATGTGTACTGTACCAATATGTGTATACAGTTCAAATTATTTAAATCGTTTCGTATTCGAATTGTACAAATTGCTCCCTTATTTTCATTTTTTTATTCTTGTAAAAAAGAACGTAGCATGGTTTATTCATAAGGTTAACCGGTTGGCTAATTCATGCCTAATACCAAAGACAGACGACACCCTTTACATTAAATAGTTCTTAATTTGAATTAATATTTACCCCTGACAGACGAGAGTTTTTGCATTTATGAACAAGTTTTTATTTTAAAACTATTGTTTGTCTGTGTGTAAGAAGAAAACATTGACATTTGTTTACAATATTTTTTAGGATTACATCTTTATGAAAAGGATACATGACCGACAGGAAGAATAACAGCTATAATGATGATAAAACAGCGCACAACTCGACGGAATGTTGTATTTTGCCTTTATTTCTAATCAAGGTCTATATAATAGGTCATCCAATGAGGACAGCTGATATCAACATATTTTGTCAAACTATGTTGTTTTGATTTGAATTTCAATAAAAAACGATAGTATACATAGAATTTTCGCTCCAAGTACAACTTTTGACAATAGATGTAGGTGCAGTGTTGTACTTTTAAACGAATTCGCCGACCTGATATTTGGGCCATGACCAAGGTTTATTCATGAATATGAATAAAACTTGGTCTTGGTAACTTGGTAACATTATATGTCATAACAAATTGTTGTTGGTCTTTTTTAACATTTACAAATAAATATTAATATACATTTGAAAATAAATAATAAAAAAGGATAGCGGTAGGCTATCTAGATGATATTTATATATAAAAAGAATGGATTCAAAATGAAGACCTTAGAATCGAAAAGAAGATTTGGCTGGATGGGACCTTGTTGTCTTCTTTATATGTATATTGTTTTCGAAAATGTTATGTGAGGGCATGATATCACTACGGAAAGAATAACCCAAATCTTGTTTAAAAATCAGATATTTACACAAGCATTAACAAATTAAAAAAATTTCAAAAAGAATTTTTTTTTTTCATTTTTCAAAATGCTTAATTCTGATTGGTTGGATTTGATTTGTTTCGAGCAATGTTTATTCATAAGGTTAACCGCAGGCGAATTCACGCCTTAGTCTTCTCCTGCTGTCAATATGTTGATCGCGAAATATCAACCAGAACAAGATAAAAACTCAAAATGAAGACTTTGTATGCCATGGCGAAATTATTAATAATTTGCCGATGCGGCTACCTTGACCATGGAACCTAGGGAATAATTAAATGTAATTTTTGGTCGATATTGAATTTGGTTTTCATGATATTGGAATTTTTCCAGAAAGAATGTACTGTATCTCCCGATGCACATTTTGTTCATATCAATTCAATTTTATTTCATAAACGAGAACCTAGCCCAGAGGGCCATGGGCGATTCCAAAAACTTCATTACATGGACTACTCCAAAAGCTTACTTATCCTTATCATATTATTTATCCATTATCATATCCTATTTATGATTGTTGCATTCAATCTGTTTACAAGAAATCGTTCAGGGGAAAAATTGGGGTTCAAAGGGTTAAGAATTAGCAATTGTGTAGCTAGGATTCCTTGAAGATTTTGAAAATACATCCGTATAAAATTTGTTTATATAATGGTTTTGATATTTGAGTAGTCGTGATGTAATGAATATATAATAATATTAAAAACATCTAAAATATACCTATTTGTAAAAATTTGTTTTGTTGCAGCTATGATGTAAGGCGTATTCTAATTATTATATGTAGCGGAAATGCCTATTTCAGGAGATATGAGTTTCCAAAGTTCGCGGAAATTCTTTAATTTTTCTCATGATTGAAAAAAAAAATAATTTTCGTAAAGATGAAGACAATACTTCCTGAGATGTGGACATCAAAAATTCTGCAGAGCCCTTTTTAAATTCTTAAAAATAACATGGATATCAATTATAGTGTAATTACCTTTCTCCTTTGACAACTACGCCCATTTAAATAGAATAGTTTTGGTTTGATACAGCTGTTGCTGAGTTTACAATCCCTGGCCGAGCCGAACTCGGGTCGTTCCAGAGCGTAGATCCGATTGTCTGGGAAATAGAATACTATTTGAGGGTGGTTTCAGCCGCCGCTCCTTTTGATACCCATATTGTTTTTAAACATTTTAAAATGGCCCCGAGAAATTTTAGAGACTGATGCCTCATAAGGTATGAAAAAAAGGATTCCATCGGAATTCGTTGGCCCATATCTTCGGAAATACGGATTTCCGTATTAAAAACTAATTAAACTAATAAATAAGTGTAAAATTTTTCAAAATTCGTAGTCAATAACTTTTCCTAATTTTGTAAAACTACAAAAATATTGCAATCAGTAATTGCTTTACAAAATTGGAAAAATAAAAAAATATTTTATATTAATCGATACGACGACAGAATCTATGGTATATTATATGCACAAACCTGATTTGCCCCAACATTATTTCCAATTGGTTTCAGTTGGGATTTCGCCATTTTGAGATTAGCTCCCAAATCTGCGACGCTAGCTTTATTTACTTTATTTTGGACGCGCCCTATAGGCAAAGGAGGGGGTGGGGGAGGTAAAAATGTATTATTTCCCTTGGACTGGTCTTCGTCGAACGCCTGCATAGCATCAATACCATAATCCAATTGATCATCTAATGAGTCGGCATCTACCGGATGTTTTGAGTGCACTTTACGTTGAACTGGAGTTGGTGGTGGTGGTGGCGGAGGTGTGTAAACCACTTCTTTAGCCTCCGAATATTTAGAAGCTAATTTTGAAGCTTCCTCTATAATATCCTTTTGATCAGTCGACAAATTTTCGGAGCATACAATGGCGCCAGCGCCATTTTTCTCGCTTGGATGATTTTTATCAGCTTGTGGCGATGAAGCGTCTTTCGTTTCACAAGATGACATTTTTTATTTTTTTTCTATTCCCAAAGAATGTAACTTAGAAAATGGATATTTGAAAGGAAATATGAAATGATATGTTACTTTCAACACATAAATTATACAAAATGCACTATCTTTGAATGTATATTTAAGAATTAATATTAAAATACGTAAAATTACTTTTTTTTGTTTTTAACTTAAGGTTCCAACTTGTTAGCAAAATGGAATGATTAACCTTGATCGAGCGCAGTCTTGAAACAGATTCCGTTATTTAAAATTTTGTTTTTGTTGGGAATGCATTACTGGAATAATTGGAATTCAAGGGATTCATAAACCGGCTTTGAACACATCGATTAATCGAAAGCAAAAAATAAAACCTAAGCTTACACAAGGTAAAACACTTGAGAGAACGTGCGTTGTGTGCGTTGCGCTTCGGTGTTAAATATATTTTGTCTTTTTCATGCGTTAACACGATAACAAAACCCGCGTAACGCGAACATTTATCCCAAAGTCGTATAAAAAATGTATGACTGTGTATATAATGTTTTGAAATATATAAAAATACATTACAGCCTTACCATGGTATAATAATAAAAGGTAACAGCAAGTGTTGTTGTACAAAAAACCATACAACAACCACATGGAAATTTGTTGTTGTAAGTTCTACTAGTGTCAACTCATTTGACAGAAAAATGTAAACAAACAAACAAATTATCATTAAATTATTTTTATTTTGAAAATGGAATATTTTCGAATCTTCAAAATAAAAATTGAAAAACATGAATGAAAATCTATCAAATTTATATTTCTATCGCTTCCACATCTTGCCTTTAATTGAGCCATTGCCATATATGTGTGTAACACATATGACAATGCTGGGAATAGCGAGTTATTCCTTCAAGAAAGATTTGCTTCCTCAAACTTTCCCAGCAGGCATATTGAGTAAATTGAATACGGGAGCACATTAATAAAGAACAATTTCAAATTTTATGCGTTCCCAATTTTCCTATTGGGTGTTTTTTAAAAACATAATTTGTCAAATTCATATTGACACTAGTATTACGTTGGAATCAAATCAGCTGGGATTTGCTGTTACCTTTTATAATTGTACCATGCAGCCTTACCTAAAATTCAACTAGCTCGTTCGACGTTTTTCACCACAAAAGTGTGAATGTTCCCGAAATAAGTCGACGTACGAATTTTCAAAGTTGAAAAAATTCAACTATGACAGAACGTAGTTTTGTTTTTTTTTTCTTTTGTTAAAAAAGGAACAAAACATAAAGAAATATACTTTTTTCAATAAGAATATGAAATATTTGAACACATTTTATAATTTCTTTATTTTATTTCGCGATTTTGTTTAGTTCGCTAAGAGAAGTGGATTCGACGTATTTGGGTAATACGGCCGTACAAAACATTTGCCATAGTGGGGAAGTTGAATATTTTTGTACGCTTCGTTGAATTTTAGGTAATGCCATGTTCTGACGGGCATTCGAACAACGTAGTTCGCTCTCAGACTTACGTACATGAATTAACCCGTTCATACAACACTATTCTTAATTCATGTCATCATCAATTTTTTTTTCAAACTTTTTGTTTCTTGTTTTACACAAAAATTCTAACATATTTTCATGAATCACATATGGATCTAAATAGAAAAATTAATTCTCTTTCTCCTGACTATAGTATGAACCCATATCTATTTACTTTTAATTCATGTTTTCCATTTTTTCTAAAAATATTGTTGTTTTCGTGCATTTTTATATTTTCTAAATTGAAATGTCACATATAAAAATTTGTTTGAGTTTCCCCAAATTTGTTTCTTGTTTTGTACGCTAATTAGAACCAAGGGGAAAGAAATTCATATTGCATTATGGAGATAACAAAATTACTTCCAGCTGCATATATAAAAACTAGACAATTTTTACTTTTCATTCATCATTTTCAATTTTACTAAAAAAGTTTGAAAATTTTATAAATATTTTCAAGCTGTCAAAATTAATTTATTTTTGATAAATGCTCTCAATTGTTAGGGATGGGACAAATTTCTTGGTGATTCAGAGAGTGATTCGAATTGAACGACGTACAAAAGTCGGTGTTCGCTCAGACAAGTTTGTATGGGGAACTAATGGTGTTTCTACACGATATGTATTTTACATATGTGCTGTCACTTTTTTACATATGGAAAATCGAACTCGTCATGTGAAACATACGGAAATTTCAATGTGTCAAAACGAGATGCAATTACATATGTATTTTTTTCCGAATAGGACGCGCTCTATTTTCGTATGTGAAACATAAGGAAATCAGCTGTTTGAATGAAACACATTGTTGGAAGAAAACATTTCAATTGCAATTCAAAAAAAAAGGATGAAAAGGCAACAATTACAAATTATTTTTAAAATAAAAAAATTATGTTGATTTAAGAAAAAATAAAAGTGTTTTTTTGTTTATAGGTTATGTCATATGTAAAATGCATATGCCGATTTGAACACAAAAATAAATGTTTTGTGTACGCCGCTAATTTTGACACACATAAGGAATTACATATGGATGAAATAAGTGACAGCACATATGTAAAATACATATCGTGTAAAAACACCATAAGTAATTATTTCATATTTAAAATCTGTTTTTATTTATTCTGACATTAAAGCCCACAAGGTAGAGGTGTATTTTTTCTCTGTTGACGAAAGATACCCTACATTGTATCATTGTACAATGATTGAGCCCATGTTGCAATAATAAGGTGATGTATCACAACAAAAACCTTTGTTTTTGTCTCGATTATCTGTCAAATTTTTACATATAATAATTCAAAAAGTTGGCAGCATTGCACATCAAATTCAAGTAGAAATTACGCACTTTGACAGTTAATCAAGACATCAGCTGCTCTAAATGGACTACCTATTCATTGTGCCATGATTGAGCCGAAATGGTTTGAATATTAAAGAAAATCAGATAGGATGCAGACATGCAACATAGATTTGTCTATTGCCTGCAGTCATGTCAAGTTAGGCATACCTCCAAGTAACTGTGCCCTCAAATTTCCAATATTTTGAGTATATTAATAATAATAAGTTAATATTAATAAGTTCTACTAGTGTCATCTCATTTGACAGAAAAATGTAAACAAACAAACAAATTATCATCAAATTATTTTTATTTTGAAAATGGAATATTTTCGAATCCTCAAAATAAAAATTGAAAAACATGAATGAAAATCTATCAAATTTATATTTCTATCGCTTCCACATCTTTCCTTTAATTGAGCCATTGCCATATATGTGTGTAACACATATGACAATGCTGGGAATAGCGAGTTATTCCTTCAAGAAAGATTTGCTTCCTCAAACTTTCCCAGCAGGCAGATTGAGTAAATTGAATACGGGAGCACATTAATAAAGAACAATTTCAAATTGTATGCGTTCCCAATTTTCCTGTTGGGTGATTTTTAAAAACATAATTTGTCAAATTTATATTGACACTAGTATTACGTTGGAATCAAATCAGCTGGGATTTGCTGTTACCTTTTATAATTGTACCATGAATCATCCTCAGGGAAATGAAGAAAGTTATGTTGTCTTTAAGTCAACGTTCTTACTTCAACTTAGTTGACTTAAAGACAACATAACTCTTCAATTCCCTGAGGATGATTGGAGAATCCAATCGAAATATTGGAAACAATAAATATTAAAAATCAAAATTAAAAACGATTTGTACTTTTAAAAAGCCTACAGCCGAACTAATACAACAAAGATAAACAAAACTAGGCAAACGATACCAATTCAAAAATCTATCAAATTCATATTTCTATCGCCTCCATTGCCACTTATATGTGTAACATATATGAAAATGCAGGGAATTGCGAATTAATCAATGAAGAAAGATTTGCTTCCTCAAACTTTCCCAACAGGCAGATTGAGTAAAATGAATACGGGAGGACATTTCCTGTTGGGTGATTTTTCAAAAACACAATTTGTCAAATTCACATTGACACTAGTATTACATTGGAATCAAATCAGCTGGGACTTGCTGTTGCCTTTTATAATTGTACCATGGGACAAAAGCAAGACCGCAAAATGAGATTGAGAAAACATATTCCTGTTACCATAGCGAGGTCGACGGACAACTTTTCATTTCCAAACCTATGTTTGATATGTATGATGCAGCCAAACTTTTATTTCAACAACAAATCCACCCACACTTATATGTGTTAGTTGTTAGGAAAATATATTATGGAATCAACATAAATTAATATTTTTTATTCCAATGCGGCGTAGGAGATATGACATTTCGGTCTACCATAAGTGATGCAAAAATCATTAAAATATTTAAAACAAATCACAAATATTTGCTTGCACTATTTGGTCTGTTCCCGTACTGCAAGAATCTACTAGATTTTACTATTTTCTTCGATAACATATAGGAAAATTTGTTATTGTAGTAAAAAGTATTAGATTCTTGCAGTACGGGAACAGACCAATTATTGAATCGTTTACTGTCCAGTAGTGGTTGTATATATTTGCATTTATGTTGCATTATGCTACGTTTAGACTACTAAATCCACTCGATCTCAAATGTCAATTCCATTGCGTATACGTCACGTCAATCCTGTTCACAAATCCAGTGGATTATATTTGACGTATAGGCAATGGAATTGACATTTGAGATCGAGAGGATTTCCTAAATCTAAACATACCTTTAATGTCTTTTCAACTCCATTTGTTATTATTGTTGCTACTGGAGTAATTGGAATATGATCGACCAGCGGTGTTGTTGAGAGCATATATTTTGATTTGTTGTTTGCTTGTTTTATTTCACATTTACAAAACACAACTAAAGGGTGAAACAAATAGGAGGACTTTAGGATTGACATGTAAAAGAATAAAGGATAATGGCATCCAAAATCAAGTTTGACTCTGATATTCCTTTATAAATTGGCATTTCATACAAATCCAACTTTACAGGTCAGGCCTGAATCCTCGTATGTATTCCCCCTTAATGATTCACCCTACGCAAGC